AGAGTGTTGCCAGCAGGTCAAGGGAGGTGATCCTGCCCCTCTACTTAGCTCTGATGAAGCCACACATAAAGTGCTGTGTCCAGTTCTGTGCTCCCAAGTACAAAAGACATGGTGCTACTAGAGCAAGTTCAGCAAAGGGCTTTTAAGATAATGGAACTGGAACATCAGTCCTATGAGGAAAGGTTAGGAGAGCTGGGACTGCTAAGCCCAGAGAAGAAAAGGCTGAAGTGGAAATCTTATCAATTCATAAGTGCGTGAAGGGAGGGTAGAGAGGCTGGGGCCAGACTCTTCTCAGTGGTACTCAGTGACAGACAAGCAGCAATGGGCACAAATGAAAACAGAAAGTTGTCTCCTGTGAGGGTGACTGAGTCCTGGCAAAGCTTGTCCAGAGAAGTTGTGGTGTCTTCTTGGAGATGATTAAAAGACATCTGGACATGGCCCTGGGCATGGTGCTGCAGGCTTTTTTCCTGCTTTACAAAACTACAGAAACAGTTTGGTGCCTTTTCAGGTTAACAGCTACCTCTTGGCTGGTTCCTGGTGCACAATAAACTGCTCATGCTGATGCACCCTTCAGGTGCAGGTAAATGGTGCATATTTAGATTTCCAGGCCTGCGAGGTACTTTGCAATAACTTCAGATGAGTTGCTATCCTTTGGGAAGTCCAGGAGCTGCCCATAGCAAAAGTTCAAGTCAACTCTGCAGCATCTGCCCCCAAGAGCACACTTGCCGTTTGTGGCCCATACACCACCAAAGCATTAAGAATCACTGCACACACACAACACAAGAGTAAGACAATCTCCCTACACCAGACACTGTAGTTATTCCTATATTTGCATGTTTTTATTTCCGTTGGGACCACAAAAGGATACCTGCTGTAAGTTCAGGCCATTGGAGATAATGGCAGATCCAATTTTAGTATTTCAGCTGCTTTTTTGGTAAAAGAAATAAAAAAGTCAGCTCTGATGTTATCCAGAACATGGTTTAACTGAGCTTTCTTAAAAGTAACCAGCTGTCCTCCCAAAATCCTGCTCTTATATACCTTGCTACTGTTAAAAAAAAAAAAAAAAAAAAAAAAAGTATGCTGAATGTGATTTTCATACAGTTCTCTCTGTGCAGGAAATCCTGCCCCAAAGTACAGGGTTTTAGGAGTTCCTGTGTGGCGCAGGGACAGCACCATGTACGGAGGCAGCAGGACAAAGTATTTTCAGTTCCTGGAAACGGAAGTGACAGGTCCATATCATAAAGGAGATGCTTGGTTCCGAGGCAAAAATAGACAAAGATAAAACTGAGTCACTCAAGCCTGAAACCTGCATCACCATGAGAATGTGTGGTAACGGGATGCAAGTCTCTGTCCTCACTGTACCAGAGGCAACAGTCACTGCAAGCAGCTGGTTGCTTAGCTCAGATCCTGACCTTAAGACTGAGAGAGCCCAGGAGGGACAAGGGGATTGGCATCTCTGGAAAGAAGCAGTGTAACGAGGCAGGTAAATGAGCAGCTCATCCACAACCCCCAAGTGCAACCCAGCCCTGGGTATTCCCATTTCTAAGCTCACTGCTCAAATCCTGACTTATGCCACATATACACAGTACCTGACCAGCAGAGAGATGCTGACCCTGGCTGCCTCTCATCAGTGCAGTGAAGGCATCTTCACACACAGGTTGTCACATTCCCTGTCTCGATATCCTGCCCAGAAACACACTACAACATATTGCCACCCCCGGAAAGTGAGGAACACCAGTGCCCATCCAGCAATAGCTGCACAAGCAAGACACTCTTCTACAGCATTACAGAGGTGTCTTGGCACAACATGGTGCCCTGCACGCCTGGTGTTTCTACAGCAAGAGCCTCATGTTTCTCTCGAGCGCAGCAGTTGCAGCCCTGCTGCCTCCTGCAGTGAGCAGCCCTGCAATACACCCTGATTTGCACTCAACCATCTGCCTGTTGTCAGTTTTTGACTATTGTGCATAATCTCAGTGAAGTAGGTCAAGATTTCCACGTAAATTGCAAATATTTTAGAACATAGTTATCACCACAGGTGGTTCTCCACTGTAACAAGGATCTTATCAACATGTACACATACCTGAGGGGAGAATATAAAGAGGATGGGGCCAAAATCTCCTCAGTGGTGGCCAGTGACAGGACATGGGGTAATGGGTACAAACTGAAACATAGGAGGTTCCATCTCCATATTATGAAGAACTGTCCTGTGAGGGTGCCAGAGCCCTGGCACAGGCTGCCCAGAGAGGCTGTGGAGTCTCCTTCTCTGGAGATCTTCAAACCCACCTGGTTCCACCCTGTGCCTCATGCTCTGCATGTCCCTGCTGGAGCAGGGGGTTGGACTGGATGATCTCCAGGGGTCCCTTCCAACCTCAATCATTCTGTAGTTCTGTGATTTGCTTTTACCTTGTAAATTAGTCATTAATCCTCAGTGGGACCTCCCATCTCACTCCATGGGGACTCCCACTTTTTAAGTCTCTGCTGAAGGATACTGACAAAGGATTTAGGAAATTAATGCTTTAATTTCATTAATTAAAGCTACATTAAAGCGGCCAAACCTACATGCCCTACACAACTTCACAGAACCTTGAGTTACAAGGCTTTCCTTCCTTCCTCAAAACCCTGAGACTGCTCTTCTCCATCCTACTGCATGGAGGCCTAATTCTAACTTTTCCTCACAGCTTCTAAGTTATCTGTCCAGCACAGCCGGAATAAATCAGCTGTGGCTTCCCAGTTGTAGTTTTCTTGCAACAATTCTCAATGCTTGAAGTCACACATTGCCTTGTGCTGCTTCCTACCAAAGGTGGGTTAACTGTGGTATGTAACCATTGACTCCTGCTTTTCCCCATCTGTAATCACATAAAAGGTCTGCTCTCTAATCCCATAGGATCACCTAGGATCATTAAAACCTTTGCTAGAAAAATTTTCCAAATGTCTTTTAGAAATTCAGGTACGTTGCAACAGACCTCCCTCTTCACATGCCCGTGGACTCCTTTAAGGAACTCTGTAGGTCAGGAATTCCCATTAAAACTTTGGCTTGTATCCTCCCATAATATCACATATCCATGTTTCCACTAATTCCAATCTTACAATTTCTATTAATTTTCCTTGTATATAGGCGTACCTTACTAGTTCAGAAAAGCCATACACCCTTTGTTTAAAACTAATATTACATTTGCCACCTTCCCATCCTTAAGTATCACTGCAGTCTTTTCAAGACACCATAGTGAGCAATAGCCTCTTTGGCATCTCACCATCTCCAACGTCGTACTAGTATCTTTTCTGTTTAACCACCAAATTGGATTTCTCAGAGACCCATTTTTTGTTGATGCTGTTTACCACTAAGCACACAACACATACCAAGATGAGCACTTCAAACTAGGGTTCCTACCTATCAGCTGGAATGAAAAAAGTGCAGTTACGCAAGCACAGAGGAAAGCCTCAGCTTTATTCTTTTCACAGCTGTGGTGAACAAATGCCAACACTCAGTGGGATACAACCCACCATTTTACATGTAGCCCTGTGAGCAAAGAAAAGCAGCTTCTGCCTCTCAATACTAAGATGTTCTAAAAGGAGGAGGCATGGCGTCAGCAACAGCAAGGTTGTCCTGTCTACCAAAGGGGCCATAAAACAAACAAACAAACAAACAAACAGTTTAGCCACACAGCAGGAAGGGCTATGGGCTGCTTACAGGTTTCCCCCGTGGCAGATGGAAGGTGAGTTGTCTGAAATTGGCAGCCCCGGCTCCATTACCCTTCCAGACAAACCAGGATTGCAGGACTGCTATGACTCAGGGAAGATCAGTCCATCCCCCAACATCTGAAAAGCAAAACCAATAATGCACGTGAAATTTTAATGTTCTATAAAGCCTGAAGCACCAGGGCCAACAAAGAGCTATGCCCACACGGTATTCAGGACAAGACTCCATGTCCTCCAGGAAACCCAAGGGATTAATGAAGCTGTGAGAATTCAAATGCTTCTACCTCCCCTTACTATGGGAAGCAGAGGCATTCGTCTGCCTTCAACACACATTTAACAGGGAAAGCATAAGAGAGAGATTAAGGAACAATAGTTGTGATTTAAAGGAAACAACTACCGTATATCTGAAAACAGTCTCTAAAGCTCCTTTTCATCATCATCGCTCCCCAACAAGGGCAGATGCCCTGAACTAGCCAGCTCCCAAGTCTGAAATGTATGACTGAAGGGAGGAACGAGTGGGAACTGGATTACCTAACTTTTCTACATAACTCGGGAGGAGAGCATTTCAACCTTGTTTGATTTGCTGACTTCTAAGAATTTCCCAGTATAGGTGATCAAGTCTTGGAGAGCAGGCTTAAGCCTACTGAGAGCAGCATGTTTTTCTACGTGCTCTCTTGTAGATGCCTCAGAAACAGCACACAGGTCACCAGGTACATGCAGACAACAGACCAAATCCCACTGTTTTGGAGGTAGTCCACACTTCGTTGCTGTTTCAAGCCACCCCTGGAATAACCTCTTTAAGAAAGTGCATTGTACTTGATCACTTCTCACTTTAGAAATCACCTTTCCCTGCCCTATGGGAAGAGCCACAAGTCAGGACAAGAGAGCAGCTAATATGTTCCAAATGCTTTTGTAGCACGTAAACTCCGGAGACTTTTGGCTCTTAAGTCTACCTAAAGCAGAAATAGTATTCTTTAGCAGAAGCGTGGAAACAGGTATGTGTGCTGAAACAGAGTGCTGTGCAACAGAACAGTGATCCATGATTCAAGGCAAAATAATACCCAATATCCCAAAGATAAAAGTAAATATTATCGGGTATTTTGAGGGTTTGGTTCAGTACCAGAGAGAAAGAGCTCTGTTGACACTAAAGAACTAGAGAATGTCAGCAAAGGGATACAGAGTGTTCTTTTTTTTATAACTTGTACATGTTATTAATCAGTTTTGCAACTGCACTTGGTTTATAAAACACTACAAAAAGGTGAATTTGTAGCCTCTTCCTTGTGCTAAGCCTGTAGCAGAAAATCTAGAGATCTGTATTCCACAGCGCAGCCTCCCACTTCACTCCTTAGGAGCTCCCTGGAAGGTGGGAACCAACACTTCTCATGTCAAGCTAAAAGAAAAAACAAACAAAAAACAGAAATAAGACTTAGTAGATGGAGTGCTCTAGAGCGCAGAAGGCATTTCAAAATAGTCAGTTCTCAATCTCTACTTACAAAGGAGCAGTGGTTATTTCCCTTCCTAGAATATAAGAGTTTGAAAAAAGAGTTCACCAAAGTGCATGGTGCTAACACCCAGATGTAAGAACACACTTTCAAGTTGACAAAGGTGAAATGTATGTTCAGCACTGCCTGGGAAGTTAGTAAAAACTCAGAGTAAGTTTAATAATGACTCTATGTCAAAAGACATCAAACCTTTATACGGGTCCTGTGAAAGGACAGCAAAGAATTCCTTCAAAGGGATTTTTTCAAAGAATTCCTTGTTCTCTCCCTGTGCAATAATCCATTCTCATATGAGAATGAACAACTTGGTCACTAAGTTTAGAGGCTCAAGAATACATCTCCAGCACAAAGGCAATGACCCTAAGAGTTCTAACTAGTTAAAAGATCAAATGAAGTTTGAATGGCATATTCACCTCCAAAGATATCTTATACATTTTTTCACATACATCACAGAACAGGCAATATCCCATATTGCTACTACCCCACACAGAAAACAAGGAAACCTGACTGCCATTAAAAAGGAAGTTAGACAAAGCCTTGGACAAAAAGGCTTACGAAAAAAAAAAAAAAAAACACGGTAATTAACCAAGCAAAAATATTCAAAGGCAGCAGAAAAGCTCCAAAGTCCTTCTGGCATCAGATATGCTTCTAGCAAGCATTTGAAACAAAATCATTATGGCTTAGAACAGTCAAAGTCCAAGATCCTGAGCAAAGTTATGAATGTTTTAACTTTTAGAACAAGCTTCTCTTTCAAAGACATCATACATGTCATAGCTAAGCACTGGAGGAACAGTACTTGAAAACTGAAGTGGATACTGTTTCACACAAAAAGAAAGCATTATGTAATTGTAATAAGATCTTTTTTACTTTTCCATGTAACATGCTATAAGACAAATGAAAAGAGCTAGGGAAAAAAAACAAATCTTTTTGTTACAAGCTAATTCTTGTCAATAACTCAATAAAATGAAAGAGTTGGTGGGGCAGGGGAAGGGAAGGAAAATCATTTTTGAAAACAGCCGGTTTTAGAGCTTCACTGTAGTAAAATCCTGGCCGTTTAGATTGTTCTCACACACAGAGTTGAGCCCTCCTTACCTGTCAATCAGAGAGTCCCTCATGTTTGTAGCAATGGAACTTGGCTGAGCTTCGTTCAGTCTGAAGACACTCTCAATAACGGAGAGTTCAGTACTGGTTGTATCCAGCCCGCAAAAGGCACACCAGTCATTTACCACCATTCCAGCTGCAATGACCTCACTGCCACGATTCACTGTTCCCGCCTGGCAAAAACAAACCACTAAGAGTTACAGGGTACACTGACAGCAACACGCTTTGCGATGCTTTCTCATTCCAAGTCTTCAGTGAAGGGCCTCAAATCACACTCCTGAAAATAGATTAAAACTTCTACCATCAATAAATGTATAAATACTTTAGATAAAAGTTGGTGACTAATGGAAAGCCTTTAATGATTGGAAAGCAAGTTGTGTGAAATTCAGACCAGGAAGCACACAGGTATAGCTATCCTGAAATGCACAAATCCAGCTCATAATAAACAAAAGTTATTGCTGTTCAGTTAAGCAGGGAAAGGATTTTATGACTGCAATTTAAAAGTTGCCTTTGGCCAGACCATAGACCTTGTAATCTGCAAGGATGAATCAGCACTAGTTGTGCAATCTCAACAGAACAAGGCTTCAACAAACTAAAAGTGCTGTGTTGCTTATTCACACTCAAAGCAGATAGGGAAAATGTCTTAGAGAAAAAAAATCACAAAGACATAGAAGCATTAAAATTGAGAAATGGGATGGGAGTGGAAAAAAAAATCACAAAAACAACAACAACAAAAACACTCTTACCACGAGTGGGACCTGAAGCAATGAAGAGAGTTCATCCTGATCATCAATTGAAGTTTTGGGATGCACAATTCCTCCTTGGTTACTAAAAACACAGTAACTTCCTACCAGCACCTGATCTGCTACCGTTTGTCTGAAAACCTCCACTTTTAGTACATCTGCCAAGATCTCTTCTGTCTCCTGTAAACAGGATGCAAGAATAAAGTCCTCAGCAGAATGGTACTGCAGAATTAGAAGTCAAGCTACTCCTGCAAACAGACATCAGTTTTGAAAACCTGCTCACGCTTTCACAACCCACTTGAAATTGATTGTTATATAAGTGTTTTGTAATCTTCATTGATCTTGACGCTCCAGGAATGTTTCCAGTTATCTGGCATAGTAAGCTAGAGCTGTGGGGCAATAAACACAAGTCTGTCTTTCCCAAGAAATGCTCTTTCCCCTACTCCTCCCCATAAGAGTTGTGGCAAAACATGAACCATTTCAATACCTGATCCCTGCCTAGTGAATCAGCCTTCTCTAATGTCAGGTCTAGGACACATGTGAATAGTATCTTTCTGGGCAAGTCTCTTTCTTCCCTAGAAAAAGCTCTGAGGTTTCACTGTAATTTATTTTGACTTTTCCTTCCTGGACATCTTACCTACTTTTTAACACTACTTAAGGTATAGCTGCAAAGATCATTGTCTTTTATTTCTGTGGTCACTACATCAACTCTCATTTCTCTGTCACCTCTACTACAAATTGAAAGCAATTCTAAGAACCTTCAGTTCCTGGAGCCACACAGCACATCTCCCCTATGCTACTGAGATATGTGCTCTGACATACGAAATGGCAGCAATGTACTCTCCAGCATCCATGTTTTACATCTTTATAGAAGAACCTTCCAGTTTTCAGTTTTACATACCCAAACCTAATTGCATTTGACAATACACTCCCATATCCTATCCCTTCCCTTCTACTACTGAAAGCTGAAAAAGATGGTAGAAACTGCACTTGGGGAAGGGTCCACCTCTACGAATAAAAACTAATTGTAAAAAGAGCACACAGATCAACTGAATTCCAAGTTTGCAATTTGGAAAAACGAAAAGAAGTACGAGGCAGCACAGCCTCCTATGTGATGAGCACTCTGCTGTTAGTGTAATCCCCGAGATACCTAACTACAAATTCAAACTGTAGCTTCCGAATCACTGCAAATACATTTGCTATGAATTTAAAAGTGCAAGAGCCATATACCCTGTCAAGATCTGGATGAACAAGAGCTACATAGTCATTGCAAGTCGTGACATTGCCC